CTGGGGGTCACATCCACCTATTTTGGATACAGAGTATAGTGAGTGAGCAGGTTGTACTATTACTAATAAGTGTATTTGAAATGTCAGGGATATAATGGTCACAATATACTTGACTATAAAAAAAAAAAGTGGACTTTTATTAAAGAAAGCACTACTAGTACTCCACAGTGGTTATGGTGTTTCCAGTGTTTCTTTAATAGACTTTTGATGGAGTGAGAAATCAGATTGCAATTTTAAGTTCAAATTTACTTTTTTTGGGGGGAGGGGAGGGACAAACTTTAAATTAGATTAAAAGAAACTGTCAAACACCAAAAAGGAAAGCAAGTTTGCTGTGTGGTTTTGGTTTTTTTCCTGTTCCTCTTTGTGGTTTACCAAACAAACAAAACACCAAACTTTTACAAAACGTTTGTGAACTGCTATGTTAAAAATCATTAGCATTTATTTCCATGTTCTCCTTAAAGGACCACTCTAGGCACCCAGACCACTTCAGCTTAATGAGGTGGTCTGGGTGCCCGGTCCAGCTAGGATAACCCCTTTTTTTAATAAACTGCTATGTTTATAATAGAGTTAATCCAGCCCTCAAATCCTCTAGTGGCTGTCTCATTGACAGCCGCTAGAGGCGCTTGCGTGATTCTCACTGTGAAAATCTGTGACGCAATGCTTTCCTATGGACTGGCTGAATGCGCACGCGGCTCCTGCCGAAAGGGAGAAGAGGAGGAGGAGAGCTCCCCGCCCGGCGCTGGAGAAAAGGTAAGTTTAACCCCTTCCTCTCCCCAGAGCCTGGCGGGAGGGGGACCCTGAGGGTGGGGGCACCCTCAGGGCACTATAGTGCCAGGAAAACGAGTATGTTTTCCTGGCACTATAGTGGTCCTTTAATAGTGCGGAAATCAGAGAGCAGACCTTGTATCTGTTGGTTATTTATTTATTTTATTCTTCTCATTACAATATTTACTACAGTAAGTATTGTATGGTACACTAACCTGGCTATTTGTGAACTGTTGTAAAGTCAACATTTAAAGTGACACTCCAGGCACTAAAACAACTTCATGAACAACTAAACAACTAATTTTCATATTCAGGAATCATGGAGTGCCGCTGGGTATGGGCGCCACTGCTTGGCTGAGAGGTCAGCTGATGCTCTCAGCCAATCACTGACTCCCCATTCACTAAACTGGCTTGGAACGAAACATACATTTTCCAAGCCAGCTTGCCAGTTTAGTGAATTGGGAGTCATTGATTGGTTGAGAGCATCACCTGTCTGCTCTCAGCCAATCAGCGGCACCCCTGCCCGGCAGTACGCTGCATTTCCTGAATCTAAAAATTCTGAAGTGTGTAGCTGCCTGGTGCGGGGGAGGGGAGGTGGACATCACCGCTGGAGGTAACTTTGGGATTTAACTGTTCGAGAATGTTTGCCTCCTGGCACCATAACAACTTAATTTAGATGACGTTGCTTTGATGCCTGGAGTGTCTCTTTAAGGTCAAAATTGCCAAAGTGGAAAAATTCTCTAAACCAGTTTGAAATTCACTGTGAATTCTCACTTTAGCAAATAATGCTGTAAAGACTAAAATGTAAATATCACTTTGAATGTGCTACCATTTACATTTCACTGTGCATGTTTCTGGCTGCCAGTTTGACGTTTTTGTGGTTGTATATAGAGACCCTCGCTCTAGTTTTGAATTTATGATCACGGATTGTTGTTTTACAATTGGAAATCGCTTGTTTAATTTTGTTTTATTTTGAATTAGAATCAACAGGGTTATGTGAATAGATGAATTTAACAGGCTGGACTATTTTTGCATATCGTCTCCAGCCTGTATTAAAATATGTCATATGAAATTTCCAAACATAAGATATTGTTTTTAATGAACAGTCTGTCTTGTGACCCTTCCACTACCATCTGACAGCTTTAAGCAAAAAAAACATTTTAGCATAAAATTATAACTTCACTTATAATTTTTTTTACCAATTCACACTTTATGGAATAAGCCTGTTAGCAATGTCTTTCTATCATCACAAGACTATAACTTACCAAGCATGGACTGCGGTAACGTTGCTGCAGGAACATAGTGCAGACAGGAGGCTAAGGATGCCATCCTCGTATAGTTTGTTCATGCACATGCTAGAAAAAAAAAAAAAACAATTTAACTTTATTTTTAAATTGTGATGGAGAACATACAGGGGATTTCAGGGTAGAAGTGAACACGACATATGTTGGCATGTTCAACCAGTTAAAAGAGGGAGGGACAGAAACTGCATGTTCCTGTCCCGATACCTGGTGTCCCAACACACAGTGTGTATTTGATAATAGATATAACAATGGCAGGGCTTAAACGTTTTTGTATATAGAATAGTCAGGAATGCCGAGATCAAACTATCAGAAATACATAGACAGTAAAGCACTACTGGAACCATGAACTAGAACCACAACAAGGCAATGGTCCTCGCCCTATGATGCCTTTTTATAATTTGTAGCTTTAATTTTATAGCCATGCCCCAAAAGGTTCGAATTCGAACATTTGGCTGACCGTGATGCCATTTACGTCATGACGTCAGCACTTGCGTGCCGTGTCATAAAAGGGGGGTGAAGCCACAGCAGCTGATGTCGGGACCACTCAGGAGAGAAAAAGAACTGTGGGAAGTGTCCCTCTCCACCACGTGGACATCCCCAGGCTGTTTAACAACAACAAAAGGTAATGTGACAGTTCCTGGTTGGATAAACTAGATTTTCCCCCAAGGTATAGCAGGTATAGTACGTACTCCTAAGATTAGCCTACATGTGTCAGGAGCATAGCATCTATTACTATTAACCAATCCTCCTGCCTCAGAAAATGCAACATGGTTTCTTACGATAACCTATTTGCAACAAATACTTTTCGTGTGGGCAAGCTTGATCTTTATCAAAGAAGCACTACAGACACCATAACTACTATAGTACGTCTTACGTGGCGCAATCTGCCCCCAATGTGTAATTTCCTTTTGGAATGCATTTTATACATTGTTCTACAGATCACAGGATCCCAACACCAGGATTTGGGATTTTCACAATCTTGTTGGTGGTCTTTTGGGTTGGAGGATACTGAAAAAATGGATGTTTGGAATGCCTTAAGGATTGGGTCCAGAAAACCATAGCTTAGATCACTGTTACTGGGCCCTGCCAATTTCCTTTTACTTTAGCCCCAGGTTTTTCTGTGTGCTCACAATAGGCGGTTTGTTGCTCACTATTTTGAGCATGCTGTAGTTGAAATCCATATTTGTCACAGATAACCCATACATGTGCTGATCAGATAGAACCATTTCTGAAAGGCATACGTTGAGAAGTAAAACCATATCATTTTGATGGCAATATTAATTACCTTATATCTTGAGTGGTCTCAGGACCACTTGACAAACGAGAAGCTAAATGTATAAGGCATCAATGCGTGGAAACTGGGTGATCTTCATAATCAGAAAAACTCAATTGGGAAATTGTCCTGTCAAGGTTATTCTCATGAAAGAGAAGACCTCAACACACTACTGGAATCCACACTATCCTAAGATGCAAAAGGATAGAGGTTTATTACTGGCCTTAGAGTAACAGGATTTATAGTGACACTATAGTCACTAACATAACTTTACTTTAATGAAGCAGTTTTATTGTATAGATCATACCCCTGCAGTCTCACGGCTCAATTCTCTGCCATTTAGGAGTTAAATCACATTATTTATACAGCCCTAGACACACCTCCCTGCATTTGATTTGCACAGCTTTCCAAAACACTTCCTGTAAAGCAGGGCCGTCTATAATATGATTAGGACCCTGGGCAATGCATTTTCTTGGGCCCCATGGGCCCTGCCACTGCCTCACCCCCCAATTACGTCCAACCCGCAATCACACTGACAGACGTACTGGCACATACACACACAGACAGACATTAAAATATTCACAGATACATACTGACACACACAGTCACTACACACAAATATATACTGTGTGTATATACTGGCAGACATACTGACACACACACAGACATACATACATACATACATACACAGACACATACATTAACAGATATACTGACACACACACAAACACATACACTGACAGATATACTAAAACACACAGACACATACACTGACAGACACATTGACACACACACACAGGCATACTGACATACACCCTGACACACACAGGCATACTGACATATACACAGACAGACGTAATGGCTGATACAGACAGACATTAAACATTCGCAGATATATACTGACACACATACACTGACATACAAATATATCCTGGCAGACATACTGACACACACACACACACATACATACACACACAGACACATACACTGACAGACATACTGACTGACACACACATACACACACAGACATACTTACATACACACACAGACATACTTACATACACACACAACACAGACATGCTGACACACAAAGACATGCTGACACACACACACAGACATACTGACATACACACAGACAGACGTACTGGCACATACACACAGACAGACATTAAAACATTCACAGATACATACTGACACACACATACACTGACACACAAATATATCCTGGCAGACATACTGACACACACGTACACACACACACACACACAGAGACATACCTACATACACACACACAGACATACTG